CTACCTCATTTCCTTATTTACGTTGTAGCCTACGGTTTGTCATTTCCTTTTTACGTTGTACGGTTTGGAGTGATATTTTAGACATTCGTAGGCGTCATCATTATTTTAATACTACGTGATGTGTTTCAAAAAAACTGCATTTGCTGTTGAACACTTTGAGACTGTATGACTAGATCAGTGACATAAAGTCGAAATAACTTGTGCAGACGCCATTTGGCAAACTGAAAGTAGACTGTCAGTCAATGTTAACAAGGAACCAGTCAAAATGGTATGAAACTACTTTTAGAGGCTTGGATACTATTAAGGGTGACACTTATATTAACATAAAATAGCGAGAATGATGAGACGTGGAAAGCCTGTAGACAATGTCGACGTTAAAGTTGTGTTGCTTGGTAAAGCCTTTGCTGGGAAAACCTGCCTTGTGCAGCGATATATCAATCAAAGTTACAATGACACGCCATACTCTAACGTAAGTATCTTTACTTATTTAAATGCCTTGTCCTTTTGAAAGACATCGATGCTTATACTTGTAAGAGTTTGATTTCTAGTTTTAATAATTGAAGCATAAATTTTTCAGCAGCATGATACATGTACATTCAAATAATCTTTTACTCAAAAGGCTGCTGATCATCAATCTGCTATTTCATATTCTGTCTAGAGGGCGGTCGAAGATTATCATTTGCAACAAAGACAAAAGTAAAGTTGTAAAGATAATTAGAAACCTTGGTACTTATAATCTTCAAGATCACCTGGGCTTGACCAAAAATTTCTGTCTCAGAATGATAATCTAGTGTCAGTATCAAATGAGCATAATCAATGAAAATGTAAATATCAATAACAGCATAACAAATATGAATAATGACATTGAATTTTCAATTTAGAGACAAAATAATAATGTCTATAATAGAGCTATTCAGGCCCCTGTGCCTTTTGTCCTTAATTCAGCACTATGCATGTATGTAGTATCCCACATCACAATGCAAGTTTTTAGAGTGATAAGCTGTCAGTATTGTGACATAAATGGAACTTTTTGTTTTCAGACAATTGGTGCTGCCTTTGCATCTAAGAAGCTGAGTTGCAAAGGAAGAAATGTAGTGTTGAATATATGGGTAAGTCATCAAATCATCATTTGATCTTAGATAATCACAACTCCTGAACTATCTCTGTTTTACCTTTCAGAAGTCAGCCTTCATAACATACCTTGTATATATCATAAGTGCAGTATTTTATTGCTAATTAAAGACAATGATAATTAGAAAATTTTAGACATGGTGTGTTAGAATTACTTGAATCAGAGTCAATTAACATTTCATAATTATAAGTGAAGACTTTGCAACAGGTTACTATACTGTTGTTGCATATTAAACTTGGGCAGATTGTGTAACTAAACACTTAAATAATGAGTAGTAGAATGTCATTCACTTTTAGGTGTCAGGAAGTTTCAGGTATGTATTAAGTACCTTTATTTATAAAATTTCTCTGATACCCTGTAGGATACAGCTGGTAGTGAACGATACCAGTCCATGAGCAAGATCTACTACAGAGGAGCTAGAGCAGCCATACTGTGTTATGACCTGACAGACAAATCTAGCTTTGAGAAAATTAGATTCTGGGTCAGTGAATTACAGACGAATGAGGAGGTGAGATTTATCATCATGTATCTGTTTGCAAATACTGAAGTATTTACTTGTTACATTGAATTTATTTATCTATTTTTGCACTGACAAAACAGTGTATATTCCTAGATCACTGTTAAAGCTGACTTCATTGATACTGACACCTGACTTAATTGACACCTGACCTTATTGACACCTGGCTTTACTGATCACTTACTGAACTGACACTTTGCTTTATCAAACACTTTACTTTTGATGTAACGCTTTACAACAAATGACACATATCTAACACAGAGACACTAAAATTCACAACAGGTAGCATTGATAAAGATCCTTACATATCTGACATGTGAAATGATGGCACCAACAACAACGTATTTTTCACGTTTTACTTTTACTGAACAAATACAATGTAATTTTAAACAAATGTCTCGGCCAATGACAATCTTTACTTATTTCAGGATCAGGCAGCTGTGTAATAGAATTTTTTTTGATGAGTGATTTTTTAGAAAATTTCAAGTCAGGATCTAGCAGTTGATGATGGAGTGATATTACATGTGATGATTGTTTTCATTTGTAGAATTGTCGAATGTATCTCTGTGGTACAAAGAAGGATCTTATAGATGATGATCCAGAATCTAGAGCAGTCAGTTTGAGTGTGGTAGAGTCTTTAGCACAAGGTAAAAACACTCTGTTGCTGTGTGAGGTTGCAAGAAATATCACAATCTCCAAAAAGTGGATTGTCATTTCTATTCCTAGTTGTTGGAACTTACTAAAAGCATTACAGTTTGTGAAAGTCTTAAACATAGTAAACATTGTTCCATAGGGATGGATGCTGTCTGAAAATTTTTTTTTTTTGAAGATTACATTGTATTAAAGATATATAGTTGTTTACATTATTGTATAGTAAAAAAAACATGATTTAAGTGTTATTCTAGTAGATGTTAGCATGTCTTGTTTTGGAAATGCCCTATTTATGCTGGAAAATAAACTCACAGGGGCCAATGCATAACCCCTGACTCAAAGTGAGGGTGGGGCCGGGGATGGGGTAGCTTTTGTTGAATTTTCTACAGAAACTACAATGGATTTGATGGACTTTTTACAGACATGGGATTATTGACAGATAAGCACTATTGATGGTAATTCACATTTCTATATATCTATTGTGTCCCATCTGATAATGCTAATCTTGTTTTACTTTCAGATTTACAATCAGATATATATGAGACATCCAGTATTACAGGTGAAACTGTAGGTAAGTATTGACAGATTAATTCCTTTTTCTAATATACAGTTACCCACATAGGGTATATTATTATTGTAGAGAAAGATTACATAAGTAAGTAACTCACAATGAAGTTTGAGGCTAGAGGATTACTGGAAATAAGATATTTATCTGTCTGGAGTTTTTCTAGTAATGGTACCTAACCTTCGTATTCAATGCTAACTTTGTATGCACAATCAGTACCTGCAGTAGTTGTGCACTGTTGTCCTTTCATTTTGATGATTTTATTGGGAGTAATGGAGATATGCCCCTTCTTTTGTATTCTAAGTAAAGTACGACAGGTCCACAGTAATGGAGATATGCCCCTTCTTTTGTATTCTAAGTAAAGTACGACAGGTCCACAGTAATGGAGATATGCCCCTTCTTTTGTATTCTAAGTAAAGTACGACAGGTCCACAGTAATGGAGATATGCCCCTTCTTTTGTATTCTAAGTAAAACTATTGCTAAAATATGTTTCTTTGCTTTATTTGTAAACTTTATTTAGGTCCACAGTAATGGAGATACACTGCCCCTTCTTTTGTATTCATACAGTAAAGGATACTGACAGGTCCACAGTAATGGAGATATGCCCCTTCTTTTGTATTCTAAGTAAAGTACGACAGGTCCACAGTAATGGAGATATGCCCCTTCTTTTTTATTCTAAGTAAAGTACGACAGGTCCACAGTAATGGTACATACTGCCTCTGACAGTTCTGGGGGAAATTGATACACATTATCAGTACCTTTTTAGGTAATTGTTAACTCATTGCCAGCTTTCTTTCTCTTTACAAGCGAACTTCTTTGTGGATTGTTCTAAATCTTACTTGTATGAACTTCCCTGAACTATTGCTAAAATATGTTTCTTTGCTTTATTTGTAAACTTTATTTAGATCCTTATTTATAAAATTTCCTGCAAGGTACTTACCCACCCCAATCCCGGTATTTGAATCTATCATCTGACGTGGCATTCAAGATGGCCACACTTATGACCATCTTCAGAATCTATTTTGATGTGACATACAGCTAAAATACTATTTAAAGGATACTGATAGAACTTTATGTGAATGATCAGTAAGATAGTTCTGAACAAATGTTGCTTATCTAAGGTTCATCAGAAATACAATCAGGTCACCGAGAGGAGTCATGAAACATTACATAAATTTCTCTTTAGAGACCAGATAATTTGAGATTGAAACTGTTTGGTATATAATACGAGTCAAAAGACCTACATGGTACAAACTGAAGATGTACAACACAACATCAGTTCCTATAGGTTTTCCTATTTAAAACTTAAGAGTTTTGAAGTGAAACTGATGAGTCAGAGTATTAGATGTTAGCAGCATACCTGGAAGAACTACTTAAAAACATTTCACCAGTGTGGTTTAAAAACATTTGTGATTTGGGTTTTGTATATTAACATCTATGAAAAATCAACTTCTGTTTATAATAAATAAATAAACAAAAAGCAAAATGTATTTTCATTTTCTCAGATTTCCCAATTTTACTTGTTACTGTTTAAAAATAGACCCTATTTATTGGACCCTGATCCCAGTAAAAAATTGCAAGAAAATCTCTGGAATTAGTAGTATTAAATGTTGTCTGAAGGTGGCCTACATATTAACCTTAGGTATGACCTTATATTGGCATGAAACACATTATTGATTAGAATTGAACTGATGAAAAATGGCCCTTTCTTAACCTCTAAACTAATAGATATATGAATTTGTGGTCATAGATCACCCTTGTGATATATATAGGGCAGTTGTAAGTAAAATAAATGGCATTAGTGTTAGAATATGTTATTTTACCAGGTTGATCATATGCTTAAATTATGCATGTATGAAAAAGCATATGTATGTTGTATACGTGTTGCAGATGAAATGTTTGAGAAACTTGCAGAGGACTATGTATTAAACATGAAAAGCAATCCTTCCACAAAAGAAAATGGTAAGAAATTTTATTTATACATCTATTTGTTAATACTAAGATTGCTTAATTAATCAATTATATGGGGAATTGACACGGTTTAACATTCTATGAACAGTCGTGGTAATTTTTAGGCAGAGTCTCCTTATGAATACTGATGGCTACTTCAGTGAATAATAAGCAGGAAGCCTGTCACATGACATCCACAGTAACTACGGTAAAATATCTTGCCTAAGGATACCTAAGGTGTAACCAAGTCAGCACTGTTCACTTCCTAGCCTCCTGAGAATCACAAACTGCAAAAATGGAAACAAGTTTATCATTAAGTATTTCCATTTTACTAGGAGATATTATAGACTGGAGTGTGCAATTTTGACCTCTTAACCAGAAAAAAATCAAACTTCCTGTTCTAAAGTTATGACTTGATAAAATGTAAATTAATAAGTTTACTATTTGATTTTGATTTCCTCCTTCTAATACCATAGCCCCTTCAGTATAGGCTTACTAAGAGGAAGTTCATATGTGATAACTCATTTTCTGTTCACATACTATCTAGTAAATATACCGGTGTTGTGAGTACATTGTCAAATGTTTAAAAGTGGCACATTGTAATATTTGAGCACATAATCAGGTGTTAAAATGGTTTATTGTAACAATATTTTAGTACATAGTCACATGTTCAGAAATCTGATTCTTAGTGTATGGACTTCCTGTTTACTTAAGTACTGTTCCTGCCTTACTATTGTAGTGTTTTAGCTAGGATTTTTAATAGTACTAATACCTGTCTTTTTTGTCTTGTTGTTAATGTGCTCATGGTGTCTGTATAATATTTTTTTGTTTTTGACAGGAGTGGATGAATCTGTTTTGACCCTGCATGAGCATTCCCCATCAACACATCGATGGAAATGTTTCCAGTGTTAGACAATTAAAACATAGAACAGAATCCTGTTGATACAGTGTGTTATTCAATGTGATTGTGTATGTAACTTGTAATATAATGCAACACTTTGATGTTTCCAGTTTCTATGGGTTGTTTTTTACATGGAAAAAATCTATTTTTATTGAATTAATTTGCCTTCTTGTCTTTTTATATGAAGTCTTTGGTAATTTGGAAAATTTTCTGATTTGTGTGTCAGAATGGATATTCTCTTTGGTTCTAAATTTGTCCACTTTGGAGATAGTTCTGGAGGAAAGAAACAATGTTATAATCTTAAGATGTTTGCAACTAATTGCTAATAAGCCCATAACTGGAACTACACTTTGTTATTTGTTGCTGTAGGTATGAAGAACAGCAGATGCTCTGTTATTTTCTGTAGTACGCCTTTCGCCCTATGTTAATTAAGATTATGTGTTGTCCTGGTTGGATTATTGTTGGGAATCCATGTATATGATTCATATGTAAGAACATTGCAGGGTATAATATTGTACATGTAAGATTGATATTGGTGAAGATGAAGTAAAGTTCATTGTTACCAAGTAAGACCAGTCTGAATCAAGTCTTATCAGGCATGATTATCTTTTTATGAATTTATTTTTCAAAAGTGTTTGCCAGAATCTTATATTTTGAAGTTTTTGTTAGTAATATATATGGCACTCTTTAAAAAAAAATTCTTCATTATAAAGATGATAGTTTCTGTATTTATTTGGTTGGAAGGTTTGATATCTTGTGTATCATTAGTTAGATAGTAAGGTTGCACAGCTTCTATGTTATGCTTTAAAAAATACTTCCTTGTTTATGTTAGTTCTCTCATGTTTCAGTTGTAGTTTTATGATACAACCCTGCACATTACACGGTCGATGAATAAATGGACAACTACCATGTACAGCTACGTATGTGACTCTTGACACTTATTTGAGTGATTTAATTAAAAATGATTATTATAACATTCTTAACAGCCCATCAACATATAAAATGTCATTAGGGCCATCAACCGGTAGAGTTGATTAAAAAATTGTAGGATATATTAAAAAGGTTTGCTTCATTCATGTTCAGGTATGAAATAAATTACTGATATATACATATAGGGTTAGTGCAATTCATCATTATATCAAGGATCTACTATTTATAATTTTTAAAAAATTAAACTTCCTGTCTTGTTAAAATTTATCTCTAGTAAACTTTAAGCTCAGGTAGTTACCAGGTGATAGATCTTTATACTTGTGTGAAATGGGAACCCGACAAATTGATAGCTCTTCTGATGAAGAATTGATAATCACAGGTAAGTGTTGTACAAAATTCATGCTATTTTGTTTCAGGAAGAAGATTAAGGAACTATAGAGCTAGTCAGTAACTTAGTATTATCTCCCCTTACTTCATGGTACGGGTATTATCTCCCCTGGCTTCATTGTATGTGTTTCAATAGAACTAGTTCCTTACAAAGAAATATTGCTTAGTGTAGAGATTCTCTAGAAAACTGATAAGGTAATGGTGATAGCATATACATCATTGATATATTTAAATTTGAATACTACCTTCATATTTACTTGATCACTGATAAACCATGTGCCCATATTTGTAAAATTTGAATATTGGTACTAAAGTTTGATTTGATATTCTTTTGTGAAAATGTCACTTTATTTACTCAAGTTGGTCATCTCCATTCTGAAATATGACTTCTGGCACAAAAGTGCCAAGTGATGTACAGTATATTTATAACATTTCTGTTTTCATATTTTCTGTTGGAGGAACTGCACATGACTAAGATCTTCCTCAGATCGTTGGTGTGCCATATTGGGTTCTTTTATACAAATAATGTCATCTGTATTTTTTGCATAAAATTAATTGAATTAATAAAAATTAACAGAAAAAACATTTCTGACTTATTTTGATTTTAACTGGGAAAGTAAATTAATTTTTTTTCTGCAGTCACCAGTATTTGTGACCTCACATCCTTTCTCTTTAGTTTAAGTCAATATGTGTAGTTAAAAGCAAAAGGCATTTCAAGCCTCAAAGATGTGTCCTGTGTAAACATATTTTATAAACTTTTTCAAAATTTTGACATGACATTGGATACAGCATTAACACCAACATTAACAGTTTTTATCATTTTTGCCTATATTCTCTCTAAGTATTAAGGTCAATCAGAAGAAGTCATAATAGTATTTTAAAATTTAATTCTTGCTTTCTTAAAATATGAATCAAGGTCAATTTCTAATCATAGTTCTTTGTTTACATCACTAGAACAAACTGTATTATGATTATGTGCTTTTCAGTTAATAAGAATGAATTATTCAGTGTTTAAACAAATGTGATCTCTGTGCAACCTTTCACTGTAATTATAATTTCATTTTCAAGCTTTGTCTGGCTTCATCCTTAGAACATGCTTACCAATTTTACAAATTTGACCCTGTTGAACATAGATGTGGATCAAGGTCATTTCTGTGTATAAAATTTGAAGGCTTCATCCCAGTCCTGCTAGACCATTAAGGTTCTAGGCTTTTCTAGTGACTTCTTTTTAGGTGTCTGAACAAGTGTTACTTTGAATAGGCGCTAAGTTTAATTCTTTCTGCAAACTTTCACAAGCTTACCGAGGAACCTATACTTAACGTGACCCAAGAATAAAGTACTTATCAAGTCCTCAGATGCAGTAATGTAAAGAGAACATTGACAGACAATAGACAATGTGCCACAGCAAAAGTATCAGATCACAGGCAATCATGCAAGCTGAGCTAGAAATAATAAAGACAAAAGTAAGTTAAAGAATTGTGTTTATCTCCGTGAAAATTCCACTCACTAATACAAATCTTTATATACATTATAGCAAATAAACAACTAAATGGTTCTGATAGAGACATACTGCAGAAATCACTACTTTTGTGATACACAATTGTGTACTAATGTATGTTGTGAATCACTAAATTAATAAGTTATATAAAATTTAAAGAAGCACTATTAGAACTATTAACTAAAAATGAAACTTGCTTGTTGCTCATTACAGATTGTATTGTACATATATAACAACAATGAATTCATTTACTTCATGTAAATAGACATTTGCCACAATGATCATGGAGAACCTTCAAATGAAGTTTGAGAAAATTCCAAAAAATAGTGATACAAACTTTCATTGTCAAAATCAAAGATCACCATCTGCCATTCATTTCATTTTTTGTGATCAGTCTCAAAACCAAAAGTGCACAACTATGAACGTAGGGGAACCTCCATCAACCATTTTGGTTTTTTCATCAGTTCAAAAAGTGGCAATGCATGTCGAGAAATTGGAAAATGAATCAATTATCAACTTAATTATGCAATATCCCTTGTAAGTTTTTAGATCATTCAAATCCATATTATGTTCAAATTTTCAAAATAAATTGACGAAATGAACAAATTATTAACCTCACAGGACAATCGTTCAGCTACAAATACTACAAAGCCTGGTGAATGCATTTTTTAAAAATTTTCGCAGATATTTGTTAAGGAGGCTACAGTATGTCACCAGAACACTGACGTTCATTGGTGAGACAGTGCCAAGCCATACAAACAGTTACAGAATATGGAAAACCTGTAACCAACCATATAAACAGCTTAAATTTTGTCTTATACCATATATATTAATTATCAGGCAGTATGTAGAATGTGGAAATCTGTTCTAGTATACATACATGTATTACACTATATACCAAGTCAGTAATTATACACTGCATATGTTGCTCTTACAAATGTATAATACACAGATAAGCATAGATTCAATATATATCCTTGTTTTAACAGCAGATTGCAATTTTTCAGAAGCTCTGAGTATACTATTTTTTAAATTAGAAAATCATACATATATTTTAGTAATTTACATCACTATTGTGTATCAACTGGTCCCTTAACCATTGTAATTATCTCTAAACCTTGAGAATATGTCAGGTGTCCTCTGTAGGAATTTTGGGATCACTTACAATGAAAATCAAGGATTAAGTTTATTTGGAATGTAAACCTTGACCTTTACTGATGTCAAGGTTAACAAAATAGTATTACGGATGTCTTTTATTAAAATTTTCTCCTAAACATAAAAAATGAATGCAAATAGTATTGAGCAAAAGCTTCCCTTATATCTCCAGGAGGTAGTTTTGAGATTTCTTTGAAGTACATTTTTTAACCTTCCTCCGGGGTATAAAATGATGTATAGAATCAGTCTATCCCAGTGACACATCATCTTTCCATGGCATCAGAAAATTTAGTTTTATTTCAAATTGTTTGTTTTCCATTGTAAATGGAATATATATCAATATAAATTTACAAGTCTGTAGACTTTATTTCATAAAATCACAAATCACGAAGATGCTAGATCTTTCCATGAAGAAGCCATGCTTGAATTTTATGCCAGTTGGAGTGTTCCTATAAAACTAACAGATCAATGTGGAAATATAACCATAGGAACAGATGGACATTGGTAGAATTTCTTTAAGAACATTAAAAAACCCCATTCCATCAAGAAGTCAGTTTTTTTCTAGATAAGGAAAGACAACTGCATCAGCATACAACATTGCTAACACAGCAAAAACAATATCAGACAAATATCATTTTTAACCTCAAAATCTTGCAATATCATATATATGTACAAGGTTTTAAGAGACAAATGATGTTCTTTCTGATTTTAAGCTCATTATATTGATAAGTTCTTAAAAATGTCTCTCATCTTATTTAATATTATTTATAATGGCTCTTTGGTTCTTGAATAGCTCTATTCATGACAACTAAGAAAACCTTCAGGTTATGAAGGGTTATACTTTGGCCCCTAAATATATAAGCATCACTTATTTTTGATATGTGTATTGTTAAAAAGAAGGCATCTTTCAGAAATATAATTTTTTTTATCTTTACAAATACCGAAATACTTTAGAGACATTATTAAACATGTAAACATATATCAATATTGAGTTTGAATTTCAAATGTGAACCACTGGATTAACATTACAGATAAATATAGCCAAAGACAAGGTGATAACTAATACTGATTCTCCTGTACACTAGCACACACAGCACACACCAGAAGTTTACAAATGTTGTAGTAATGATATTAAAATTTTAAACACAAAATATTCTACAACAAAAGAAAATAAAGATGAAGTGATTCTCATGTCTATAAACACATAAAAAAACATGATATAATGCACCAGTAATTCCGGCTTGATGAATATTGTTCGAAAGAAAAGGGTTGAAGCTACAAAATTTTTATTACAAAAATAATATCAAAAAAATGGAATGAAATTACAAAACGAAAAATTGAAAATAATCATGATAATAAATATTGCCATTTGATTTATTATGTACTGGTATAGGTGACTTTGGTTAACAGAAAGCTGAGGAAGCTGTTATTGGTAGCCTACCTGTTCAAACCAAGTACCAATTCTCCCCAATCTTATGGAAATGTTTGTTATATAATGTTAATATACACATAACTTGCCAACTTATTAATTACAAATTTTCAGAACAAATTATGTATATATCTTATTGAAAAATCTTTGTGTAAAAAACCCCACAATATTACTCTCAATATGTGTAACAGCAACTATTGGCAAGATTAGGTACAGTAACCAGTACTGTTCAGGGAAATCTGACACCAGATGTCACTAGGTACAGTGACCAGTACTGTTCAGGGAAATCTGACACCAGATGTCACTAGTTACAGTGACCAGTACTGTTCAGGGAAATCTGACACCAGATGTCACTAGGTACAGTGACCAGTACTGTTCATGGAAATCTGACACCAGATGTCACTAGTTACAGTGACCAGTACTGTTCAGGGAAATCTGACACCAGATGTCACTAGTTACAGTGACCAGTACTGTTCAGGGAAATCTGACACCAGATGTCACTAGGTACAGTGACCAGTACTGTTCAGGGAAATCTGACACCAGATGTCACTAGTTACAGTGACCAGTACTGTTCATGGAAATCTGACACCAGATGTCACTAGTTACAGTGACCAGTACTGTTCAGGGAAATCTGACACCAGATGTCACTAGTTACAGTGACCAGTACTGTTCAGGGAAATCTGACACCAGATGTCACTAGGTACAGTGACCAGTACTGTTCAGGGAAATCTGACACCAGATGTCACTAGTTACAGTGACCAGTACTGTTCAGGGAAATCTGACACCAGATGTCACTAGTTACAGTGACCAGTACTGTTCAGGGAAATCTGACACCAGATGTCACTAGGTACAGTGACCAGTACTGTTCAGGGAAATCTGACACCAGATGTCAGTAGGCACAGTGACCATGAATTGTTAAATATTGATATGGACAAAGAGGCTAGCATGGCTGCATCCATCATTCATCATACAAGTTATTTACCCTTATGGTTCCAACAGTTACTGCATCACAAGTATAGATAATAGAAAAGTTAAGAATGTGATACCTATGGTAACTATTGAATCCTGAATGTGGTAATACACTTCAGGTACAATGGCAGACAAAGGTATCGCTATGTAATAGTCTGGTGTCAGGATAGAAGCAGAATCTTTATATAGTATATAGTCTCCAAATGTTGAAACAGATGCCTTAATGATATGGTAGTCAGGTGCAAGAACAGAAATTGTGTTTTCTGTTGTACGAGGGCTTATTGGTAAATTTTGAGACTCTTATTTAAGAGCTTGACTTTTGGTGTACATACTGCATTAGTTTTCAACATAATCACCTTCAGTATCTATACACTTTTGCCACCGATATTTAAGAGCCTCAATGCCGCTTTCAAACAAGTCATTTTTTTGACTCTTTGGAAAGTCCTGCACTGCATGTATGATGTCATCATCTGACCGAAAGTGGGTACTAGAAATGGCCTTTTTCAATTTTGGAAAGTCTGATGGAACGAGATCAGATGAATTAGGCAGATGCTTCAAAGCTATAATCATTGATGGTAGACATGGCAATGACAGACTTGTGAAAAGTGGCATTGTTCTAATGGAACAACACACCTTTACCTTTGTTTTCTGCAGCTCTTGATTTTAAATTTTCTCAAAACAGCCTAAGAAGTGATGCATATGTGCCATTGTTTGTTTCTTTTGCAGATAATCTACCATCAGAACATCACCAGCATCCCAGAAAACTGAGGCCATAACCTTTCCAGTGCACGGATCAGTCTGTCTTCTTTGCCGGAGGTGAATCAGGTTACTTTCATTGTTTAGACTGCAGTTTGGCCTCTGGAGTGAAATGATGGAACCACTTTTCATCCATAGTCGCAAAGCTCTGCAGAAAGTTAGGAGGATCTACCTCTGAAAGGTTCATATTAGCATGCAACAAAGTCTGTCTGGTGGGCTTCTGATCAACCGCCAGAAGTCTTGGTACCAAAAGGGCAGAGAGCTTTTTCATTGCAAATTCTTCCATAAGAAGGGAAGGTATTCTTTCCTGTGAAATCCCAACTGTACTGGCTATATATCTCTGTAACTCGCCTGTCAGCTGTAACAATATCATGGACTTAATTGACCATTTCCGGGGTTGCAATAGTGACAGGCCTACGAGGACGGACCTTTTCACTGTTGCATATGAAGGAGCAACATTCCCTAGCGCTGCTACCATATCAGTATGGTTCTAATCCTTTCTTATGCAAATACTTAATCACTGCTCTTTCAGCGATTTTGACCATTTCACAAAAGCCACTTGCCTTGTTAAACTTTCGAGTGCTACCTCATCAACATGAACTGACTAAATGACACCCGTCTTCAGATTCTTAGACTTAAACAGTCACAGAAATAGTAGAGCTGAAAAAAACATACCAACTTAACTTCTTCAAGCACTAAAGCAGAAACAGGTGTCAATGTATCAAGTACAATGTCAGAAACAGCTGTCAATGTATCAGGTACTAAGGCAGAAACAGGTGTCAATGTATCAAGTACAGGGGCAGAGACAGGTGTCAATGTATCAAGTACAGGGGCAGAGACAGGTGTCAATGTATCAAATACTAAGGCAGAAACAGGTGTTAATGTATCAGGTATTCAGGCAGAAACAGGTGTCAATGTATCAGGTATTCAGGCAGAAACAGGTGTCAATGTATCAGGTACTAAGACAGAAACAGGTGTCAATGTATCAAATACTAAGGCAGAGACAGCTGTCAATGTATCAAATACTAAGGCAGAAACAGGTGTCAATGTATCAAGTACTGAGGCAGAGACAGGTGTCAATATATCAAGTACAGGGGCAGAGACAGGTGTCAATGTATTAGGTACTGAGGCAGAAACAGATGTTAATGTATCAGGTATTCAGGCAGAAACAGGTGTCAATGTATCAGGTACAATGTCAGAAACAGGTGTCAATGCATCAGGTACTTAGGCAGAAACAGGTGTCAATGTATCAGGTATTCAGGCAGAAACAGGTGTCAGTGTATCAGGTACTAAGGCAGAAACAGGTGTCAATGTATCAAATACTAAGGCAGAGACAGCTGTCAATGTATCAAATACTAAGGCAGAAACAGGTGTCAATGTATCAAGTACTGAGGCAGAGACAGGTGTCAATGTATCAAGTACAGGGGCAGAGACAGGTGTCAATGTATTAGGTACTGAGGCAGAAACAGATGTTAATGTATTAGGTATTCAGGCAGAAACAGGGTGTCAATGTATCAGGTACAATGTCAGAAACAGGTGTCAATGCATCAGGTACTTTGGCAGAAACAGGTGTCAATGTATCAGATACTTAGGCAAAAACAGGTGTCAATGTATCAGGTATCAAGGCAGAAACAGGTGTCAATGTATCAAGTACAATGTCAGAAACAGATGTCAATGTATCAGGTACTGAGGCAGAAACAGGTGTCAATGTATCAGGTACAATGTCAGAAACAGGTGTCAATGTATCAGGTACTGAGGCAGAAACAGGTGTCAATGTATCAGGTATCAAGGCAGAAACAGATGTCAATGTATCAGGTACTAAGGCAGAAACAGGTGTCAATGTATTAGGTATCAAGGCAGAAACAGGTGTCAATGTATCATGTATCAAGGCAGAAACAGGTGTCAATGTATCTGGTACTAAGGCAGAAACAGGTGTCAATGTATCAGATACTTAGGCAGAAACAGGTGTCAATGTATCAGGTATCAAGGCAGAAACAGGTGTCAATGTATCAGGTACAATGTCAGACACAGGTGTCAATGTATCAGGTACTGAGGCAGAAACAGGTGTCAATGTCAGGTACCAAGGCAGAAACAGGTGTCAATGTATTAGGTATCAAGGCAGAAACAGGTGTCAATGTATTAGGTATCAAGGCAGAAACAGGTGTCAATGTATCAGGTACTTAGGCAGAAACAGGTGTCAATGTATCAGGTATCAAGGCAGAAACAGGTGTCAATATATCAGGTACTTAGGCAGAAACAGGTGTCAATGTGTCAGGTACAGAGGCAGAGACAGGTGTCAATGTATCAGGTACTAAGGCAGACACAGGTGTCAATGTATCAGGTATCAAGGCAGAAACAGGTGTCAATGTATCAGGTACTTAGGCAGAAACAGGTGTCAATGCATCAGGTACTTAGGCAGAAACAGGTGTCAATGTATCAGATACTTAGGCAGAAACAGGTGTCAATGTATCAAGGCAGAAACAGGTGTCAATGTATCAAGGCAGAAACAGGTGTCAATGTATCAGGTACAATGTCAGAAACAGATGTCAATGTATCAGGTACTGAGGCAGAAACAGGTGTAAATGTATCAGGTATCAAGGCAGAAACAGGTGTCAATGTATCAGGTACTTAGGCAGAAACAGGTGTCAATGTATCAGGTACTAAGGCAGAAACAGGTGTCAATGTATTAGGTATCAAGGCAGAAACAGGTGTCAATGTATCAGGTATCAAGGCAGAAACAGGTGTCAATGTATCAGGTACTAAGGCAGAAACAGGTGTCAATGTATCAGGTACTAAGGCAGAGACAGGTGTCAATGTATCAGGTATCAAGGCAGAAACAGGTGTCAATGTATCAGGTACTAAGGCAGAAACAGGTGTCAATGTATCAGGTACTAAGGCAGAAACAGGTGTCAATGTATCAGGTACAATGTCAGAAACAGGTGTCAATGTATCAGGTATCAAGGCAGAAACAGGTGTCAATGTATCAGGTACTTAGGCAGAAACAGGTGTCAATGTATCAGGTACTTAGGCAGAAACAGGTGTCAATGTATCAGGTACTTAGGCAGAAACAGGTGTCAATGTATCAGGTATCAAGGCAGAAACAGGTGTCAATGTATCAGGTACAATGTCAGAAACAGGTGTCAATGTATCAGGTACTTAGGCAGAAACAGGTGTCAATGTATCAGGTATCAAGGCAGAAACAGGTGTCAATGTATCAGGTACTTAGGCAGAAACAGGTGTCAATGTGTCAGGTACAAGGCAGAAGATGCATTTCATATGCATCATAGACAAGTAATTCACATACACAGCTATTTGCTACAAACTACATATAAGAACAAGTGTGGATTGATCTGAATGTACATATTCTATTTCCATCACTGATCATTCAGGTCAAGGTCATGTACTCATCATTCTTATCACTTAATGTCAAGGCCATGTCACCATCAATTTTCCACCCTTGTTTTTTTATTAGATTTACATGTCAAAAGTAAAAAAGTCTCAAAAGTTATCCTTGTCTTAATCACTTTGGTATATGCAGACAGACTAGCTTGTCTAAAAATGTTCAATTCTCTGTGCCAAACATTTTCCAACAAGTTTATCCATAGTCATAGTTTTTCGCAAACTCAGCATTAATTTACTTTGCACTGTTTCAGGATAATAAATATACTTTTTTAACTTTAAAAACAGAGAGAGCCCAGATATGAGACACAAAGGTGTAAAGGAGACCTTGTTGTGGTGGGAAATAGGATGGCTACACAATCAATAACACTAATATCAAAAGACAATGCCATCACTACATACATCATTTTCCAATTTCAAAGAGAACTGCAGCAAACATTTTTCCGCATTCATTGTGATATCTCTGTAAAATCTCAAACAAATATGTGAGATTTGTTTTGAACTGTGAAACACTACAATTTCTCTCTTAATAACAAACAATTCTTCCCGATGAATAAAAATTGAACTATTCAGCTAGGAAAAATTTAGACTACTGTGTAAAATCTCAAACAAATATGTGAGATTTGTTTTGAACTGTGAAACACTACGATTTCTCTCTTTATAACAAGCATTTCTTCCTGATGAATAAAAATTTAACTATTCAGCTAGGAAAAATTTAGACTACAATGTACAAATGTTGACAACCAGAATGTGTATTAATTCCTAATATCACATATGATATATCTATTATAACTAAAATATAAATGTGGTAACTATATAAACAGTGTCAATGAAAGAGCAAGGGTTAGGTCTGATATATATACAACATCCAAAATCAAATATTTAACACTAGACAATTCTCATATTGTATAGAGGGTCACATTACACCATGAGACAAAATTACAACATGTGAAATAATTTTGATTGAATGGAAAAAAATGTGTTTTGTTATTTATTACAGGATTCACCTTATTGGTACAATAATAGATTTCATTGTCATAAAAGTAACCCACCCCCAACCTCCTCATTCCCTGAAAGAAATATTTTTGATTTTGAATATGAATTTAGGATGTTGCTAACATATATCACGTTCTATCATTACAATTTACTCCTATTATATATCAAAATATCATATTTGTAATGGTGAACAAACATGTATTAAGTACCTAGTAGAATTTAAATGCTGGTAGAAACAGGGCCTATTCCAGGACAAGGAACTGGTTAGATACAGTATCTATCGTTTCTCTCTAAATCTAAATTCCAAAACCGCCATTTTCACTTATCATTTTAGTTCAATCCTGGAAAAGTTTGGCTCAAAATTAAAGATAAGAGATGATATAATACAAACACCATGACATATGATGGAAATGACAGAGACATACAAGCCACACGGTGAGAAAAATTACTGTAGAAAGATACAGACGGTAAAATAGTGGTGTAGAAAGTTCTTCAATGTGACAGATAATCTAGTCACTGCTTGTTTTAATAGAAAATCTACCTACAGTATTTTGTAATTAGAAATGTTACAGAAAAAGTTAGGAGACATTAAAAGTCTATCATTTCTTATTGATAAATTAAACTATAATATTTTCCAAACAAGCAGAATTCACCTAAAAAGGCATTTTATCATACATTTAATGATCAAAAGACATATGTGGTCTGATGTGGTGTGTTTATGTAATAAAATGTGACTGAACAGTATATAGGAATTCTTTAATAATAGAGATTACCAATGATATAATGCAGTATTGCTGGTATCAAATATGGTTTAATCCCAGGATAAGTTGAGCTCAAACTAGATCATCAAATATGAAAACTGAACCCCTACTTTAGATTTTTGCTACAATTACTTAACCATCTAACAACAGCTTGCGCCTGACCCTTTACTTTTCCCACTCAAGATTGCAAATGAATAAACTAAACTGGAAATGTCACATTTGAAGAGAATCATTCATGTGAAAAATATTCCCAATTTCCATCTCAATAGGCCTAATTCAATCAACCATCTATCTGATGCACATACAATGTGTTTATACAGTATGTTAAATATAAGCTTGGGAAAATTTCAACTTACAAAAGAAATAAAAAAAAAAACAAAAAAATAAAAACAAAATAAATGGAGCTAGAGTATGCTGATATGCTGATTATAAATAGGGTTTATGTAAAATAAAGCTAACATTTAATACTGATATTCACTGGCAAATATTACTACTGCAATTTAATTTCTTGTAATAAACCACCTCCTTATTCACCAATAACATACCTAGTATTTTGGAACAAGTGTTTGATAAAGGTTATACTTGAGTATTCAACTGAATTATTCTAAAAAAAATCCATACTTTTAAAAGTTTCTTAGAATATGCAGAAATACAAATCTTACGGTGAAAAAAATCTGAGGATCTTAGATACAAATGTTTGCACTAAGAAGGAAAATTGATCATGTCTTTTTCAAAAGCGCCAACAAGCACTCTGTATTGCTAGACAATATAATCCCAAACTACTTCAATAACATGAAAAGTTTTGTTGTTCATATCACCATTAGCATACCAATTAAGTCTGGTATTGAAAAAATTGACAATCAAACATGACTTAAATTTTCAACATCTGATTGTATCTATCCTATTTGTATATTACTTCACAAATCACAAAGCATCTCCAAACCGGTATATACAGTGTTACCACCTTTGTCATCCCATATTTGACCATAGCCCTTAAAAAGCAAGAGTGACAATGTGTTTTACAGAGTTATTGAAAAGACCACATACTTCAATGATATTCCATGTTATGTTAAAACATGAATTTTACTAATAATATTAGAGCCAAAAAGGTGTTGAACTTTTTAATACTGATCTGATCAAAATTGAAGAAATATGCGGTGATTCTGGCGCTTTTCAGGATCTGAGCAGATCATGATATGGTCAATATCAGGTTGACTTGATGAAGTTAGGTGAGTTAGTGACACTGTATATAATTGTTCAATTATAACATCTAATGTTTACATACATCAATGTACAAATTCTGATATCAAAAATTTTACTTCATAAAAGGGTGTGTCATAGTTGTGTGTCCATTGTTAAAAATTAACACAATAAAGTGTAGCCAGGTAAAATGATGTTACTATGATACAGGTAATGCTACAGTTATTGTCAGTTTCACTGCCACATGCTGGTTAAGATTGCTGTCTCTTTAAAGTGTGATCAGGAATAATAAAAAGGAGGAAAAAGTACAATTCTTATTCAGAAAGTGCATCTTGTACATGAATACAAGTAGAAACTGTACACAATAGTAAAGTCTTTGACATGTGACTGATAATATATTGTATAGGAGCTCCACAGTTGCCTGTGGTTTTACAAGCAACCACAAAGTTATCAGAACCCTGAGGTTGGCTCCGTTGATGGAGACAAAAGTTGGGGTAACTGTGTCTTAGTTGTTTGCCTATAAAACAAATGCAGTTGTTGGAGCACAAATACATATTCAGTAAATCTATACAAGGTGGATAGAACATGTATACATATTCATCGCAGATGTAATACATGTATATATAAATGGCCGACAGAACATCCACACATCAGTATGCTTGGCCACAATAAGATAAAATCCAGACACACAATAATAACAGAGTACATATAGAATTTATATTACAAACATAACAATAAACAATAACACTTTGCTCAAATCTGAAATTTCTTCAAACCTCACCACACAGTGTTCAGTAAATGTTTTTTTTTTGTTTTGCTTTTTTTCTAAATGACTCTAATTTTCCAGGTTTTAAGGGCCAAAATAATGATTCAACGGGATATAATTTTTACAAAAGTCATGAAATTATCTCTGTTCCAAACATTAAAACTTCATCGACCAACAGCATTGATTGGAACTTTGAGGCAGTCTGTACAGTATATACAGAAATTGACCGTGTATATGAGGTTTGATGATGATCTCAGACCTGTATTAAACATCTGACACAAGGTCTTTCATCCTGAGAATAGTCGGCAAATCTGTCAAACTTGAACCAATAATAACTTTAAAATATCAGAACACCTTTCCTTTCCACTTAAAACAATAACAAGATTGTTTATTATTTTAGTCTTTTTTCTTTCTACTCTAAAAACTGATAAAGATCTGCATATTTTTTTCCCTTTTTTCTCCAATACAAGAATTATTGTAATAAGCATTTATACTATATTCTTTCATTTTCTGACAATGTCTTTCACGGGAAACAACCAAATTTGCCATATCTAATTTGATTAGCTGAAGTCTTTGGTTTAATGTTTGTTACAATGTAACCTACAGATAATACAATATAAACATATTATCAAATAACACAATCAGGAGTTACTGCATTGTAGTATTTTTAGTCTCTTTCAACAAGTTCTGAAATTTTGTTTTCAAAGGTGATAATTCTTGTGATCCCTTCATTTTATCATTTCTATATCATAAGAACTTGGAAAGTTTTCAAAATTGAGACTTAATCAGAGATATATTGTTCAACATATTAAATCACACTACTGTATACCATAAAACTTTCCTCATTTTTGCCCCATAAGAAAATGGCAAATCTAATAAGGTAGAAACAGTTTTTGTATGACTTATCCAAAATTTAATGTATGGTTTGGGCAATCTTAGACATGTCAAAAATATCTCTTTTGTCAAAGAGCAGTTTCCCAGATAAAAAGTTTCACAATAAATTGCTATTAGTGCATACTATCTAAGAGGCGCTGTTGATAATTTGACATGAGCAGGAATTAATGGGTTTTTAAATTGTTCCTGAATTATAATCAACAATGTTTTGTATATCACTAATTTTATCTCTGTCTGGTCCCCTACATATGTGATATTTATTTTATATTCATAATAGCAACAAATGTTGTTGATATAGTTGTTAACTCTGCACAAACATCTCTGATATTAAATGCAGATTTGGTCGGGAAAATTCTGTTAAAACTCTGGACACTAACCAGTCTGATTATGGTAGTAACAGACTTATAGTTAAGAAATATACTGATGATGGATGTACCAGAACTAGATTATCTAACCCTCTGCAAGTCATTTGGTGGGGCCAGAGACGAACACTTTGCCTAATTGTCCTTGGTGAGACCAAAGATTAACACTATGCCTGATGTCCTGGGCAAGACCAAACAGTAACACTGCCCGCCCCATGTAATGAGGTGGAACCAGAGAAAAAACTACATCCCATGTCCTGCAGTGTTACAAGGGGCTAACATGATGCCCTATGTGTTTTAGTGGGAACAGAGACTGATATCACGTCCCATGTGTTTTAGTGGGAACAGAGACTGATATCACGTCCCATGTGTTTTAGTGGGAACAGAGACTGATATCACGTCCCATGTGTTTTAGTGGGAACAGAGACTGATATCACGTCCCATGTGTTTTAGTGGGAACAGAGACTGATATCACGTCCCATGTGTTTTAGTGGGAACAGAGACTGATATCACGTCCCATGTGTTTTAGTGGGAACAGAGACTGATATCACGTCCCATGTGTTTTAGTGGGAACAGAGACTGATATCACGTCCCATGTGTTTTAGTGGGAACAGAGACTGATATCACGCCCCATGTGTTTTAGTGGGAACAGAGACTGATATCACGTCCCATGTGTTTTAGTGGGAACAGAGACTGATATCACGTCCCATGTGTTTTAGTGGGAACAGAGACTGATATCACGTCCCATGTGTTTTAGTGGGAACAGAGACTGATATCACGTCCCATGTGTTTTAGTGGGAACAGAGACTGATATCACGTCCCATGTGTTTTAGTGGGAACAGAGACTGATATCACGTCCCATGTGTTTTAGTGGGAACAGAGACTGATATCACGTCCCATGTGTTTTAGTGGGAACAGAGACTGATATCACGTCCCATGTGTTTTAGTGGGAACAGAGACATAAACTAACATTAATACCTATATCCAATGATGGTAGAATCTAGCCATTACAAATGATGAACATCACTGTTAGAAACTCTACTTTACTTATGGCTATATTGCCCTTTTTTCAGAAACAAATTTCTTTTTGGATAGAAGTCAAAATTGTTAGGTATATATCTTACATTTTAAACAAATAAAAAAGTTTTCAGTTGAATTTTGAATATCAAATCTTCTATTTAATCATCACACTTAAATTTTAGATTCAACATGAACAATTTTACACTCATGATTTCACTTCCACTCCTAGAGTTAAATGAACAGTATCTTTTTCTACTGAATCAGAAATAGTTCTGAAATAGTTTTTGGTATATTAGATGTTTGTGACATTTATGAAGATTTAACCAAGTTTTGTGAATGCACAAGCATTAAATTTGGAATCACCATGACCACAAACACTTTATTCAGGCTCTCTTGAAAAACCGATCATGGCAACAACATCCAGGCCTAGGACATATCCCAACATTTTAAGTACATTATGTGATAACTAACAAAGCTATAATGAAGTTATATCTAATCTATCAGCTATGTCGTTACATGTACAACAAAGTCATTGCTTTTAACAGTGTTAAAAAGAATCAAGGGTTATCTCCCTTCTGGTATACCACCAGTACACATCAGGAAACATGCTTTCTGCTGTCTTAAAATCTCTTATCATTGAAAAAAGTTCTATTGAACTAGTGTAAAACTGTACCAAACATGAATTAAAAAAGCTCACTGATTGGATATTTACATAACAGTAACACTTCAATCCCACATGGGGTCACAGGGTCACAAAATACATTTCTCAAACGCTGTTCATATCCTTCTGTAACAGAAAGCATGGTATGATATAACATTATCCTTATGAAGGATAAACTTGCAAAATTTCAGCACCTCTTACATATCTGTGAATTTATCACAACAAATCTATAGTTACTATCTACATAACTAGATATTATATATACAAGAAGAAATAAAACTTCTGTATCAAGCTTATAGATAACAACAGATTGTTTTAATCAGATGAATTGGACCACTGATGTAGATATATAAATGATGACCAATTAAGTTGTTTAACGGTGCACACTGCTGTTGTAAATATTGTTTATAGCATTTCAGCAGACTGTAAACTGTGTGAAAACACTAAAAGTTGAAATAACTTTGGACCCTAACCTGATCCCATATGGGTGTAGGTTGTTAGCTTACAACATCATTCTTAGAATCAATTAAGTATGTCTGTTCATCCGATGGACAACATTGGGGGTCCTCGTTGTCCTCTTCTGAAGTTACCTTGACATCAATCTTGACATCATGGTCTTTGCAAGCTCCCGTTTTTTCATCAGTCGAAGGAAAACTCCATCCCGAATCCTTACTGTCTGTATGCGACAGTTTGGAGTTTGACATGCCAGAGCTGACAGTGCGACTAGCCTCGCTGATGGTTATAGAAGGTTTAGAGATATCAGGGGAGCTGTGACGAAGCATGTTATCAGAGGAGCTAGCATGGGAAATCAATGTGGCTTTTTTCCATTCTTTATTGAATGTTTCATCTTCTGCATTTGCCAGTTTGTTCTTGGATCTTCCCATTAATGTAGCCCGACGTGCAGCGATGTAGTGCCCTCGTCCTATCTTAATGAAGAGCAAAGGTGAGACCGCTCGGATGGTGAAGTCAGGAATGTATGGTTTAGTCTTCACATACACACTATCTGTGTTACTGTCTGGGACAAAGGCCCCCTCTGCAACATCTGTACATGTAAACATAATCAATGTTATGACATTCTCATTAACATATTCTACACAATAACTTGCACCAACCATAAACTAGTAAATGTTTGTAAAACACCAATGCCCCTGCTTATTTGCCAGTTATAAGTATCTGGTGAGAGGTCTTTCCAGATATAACATAAGATTCAAAACTGGACAGGATAGGACAGATGGCCGAAGGCAACACTGGATAGGACAGATGGCCGAAGGCAACACTGGATAGGGCAGATTGCCTAAGGCAACACTGGATAGGGCAGATGGCCGAAGGCAACACTGGATAGGGCAGATGGCCTAAGGCAACACTGGATGCCTTGTAATAAAATGACATGGAAAGTCTGGGGCATAAAAATACAAAAATAATGTTATGCTTCTGAGAAATTGGTTTGTGTTTTTTTGTTTGCTGAGAGGTAAGGGTCACTTTGGAGAGATGTCTCCTTGTAGTAGCTGGTAGTTACCTCAATCAATAACATGGAATTTTGGAGACAAAAGGAAATAAAAGTGTTCTATAAATACAGTGTCTGATTCATTTGCCTGTTTATTTGTACATAATTCAAATTTGTAATATTCATCTTCCTGCATTGCATTAGTCTGCCAGTTCTACCATCATTAAAATAAAATTGAACCAAAATCATGATTCAAAGTACAGGTATATTACGTAAAGTGTGTGTAGAATTGATAAGGTATCCTCATTATTTTTTCAATAAAGAGGAAGGAATGGAAATGTATTGTATAAATGATAGTCAGTTTAAACATATTGTCTATTTATGTGTATTATATAACTCACCCAAAGCCTGGACTCCATAGAAAGAAAATGGTCCCCCGGTAAAACACATCTTCTCAAATCCTACGTTCACTTCCACATGTCCTGCAAGAAGGTTAATCTTCCTAGTAAAAATGTTTAAATCTTGCTTGTTATTACAGGAGATAAACCTAATACTGATAAATCCATCCTGATATTTATTATCAGAATCTCACAACTCTTGCTTACGGAGTCTACACCTAGCAATTAAAAAATTCATGGCATTTTTTTTTTTCTTTTCAAAAATGGCATGCCATAAGAATTTTAAGCACCATCTAATAAATCCTGGAGGCCAACATTTATTTTTCACATAGAGATAAGTGGGTTGTTACAGGATGATTAAAAAGTATTTATTAATGTTTCTAATGAAATTGTTTAATAAATGCGAGGGATAATTGTCAGATGTATGCTAGTACTCTAACATTTTCTCAGTAGTGTGGTACGAGTTTAGGTATCATATACATTATTTCATAAGTGAGAAAGGGATCTGGAGTGAGAAGATTGGCAGTTTAGATTTAATATCAGATTAATAAAATACTGTTTTCATGAATGCATGGAAAGGTATCCAAGTTATGTGATAAATAGAATCTTACATTTGTTACATAAGATTTAAGGAACTTGTCATAAATTTTTCATTATGGAAACCTCATATGACATCAAAATTCAAGTAAGATCCTCCTAGTTCTTTTGAACTACAAACCTTGAAGTATCAGTATAAAGTAGTCACATGGAACTCCATCCTGGTACAAATATTTGAAAGAATCGCTATCATTCAAGTTAGGCTGGTACTCCTCAACAATGTTCTGCTGCAGAAGACGCTTCAATACGTTTTCTGAAATCAGGTCCTCATGAAACAGATCCACAGCTGTAAAAACATAACATCATAACGAGTTAATAAAACAGCAATCTGTTAATGTGCATGGAGAGAATGACAAGGAAAGCTTGATTATAACAACATGGAGAGGGTGACAAGGAAAGCTTGATTATAACAACATTGAGAGGGTGACAAGGAAAGCTTGATTATAACAACATGGAGAGAATGACAAGGAAAGCTTGATTATAACAACATGGAGAGAATGACAAGAAAAGCTTGATTATAACAACATGGAGAGAATGACAAGGAAAGCTTGATTATAACAACATGGAGAGAATGACAAGGAAAGCTTGATTATAACAACATGGAGAGAATGACAAGGAAAGCTTGATTATAACAACATTGAGAGAATGACAAGGAAAACTTGATTATAAAAACATGGAGAGAATGACAAGGAAAACTTGATTATAAAAACATGGAGAGAATGACAAGGAAAGCTTGATTATAACAACATGGAGAGAACGACAAGGAAAGCTTGATTATAACAACATTGAGAGAATGACAAGGAAAACTTGATTATAACAACATGGAGAGAATGACAAGGAAAGCTTGATTATAACAACATGGAGAGAATGACAAGGAAAGCTTGATTATAACAACATGGAGAGAATGACAAGAAAAGCTTGATTATAACAACATTGAGAGGGTGACAAGGAAAGCTTGATTATAACAACATTGAGAGAATGACAAGGAAAACTTGATTATAAAAACATGGAGAGAATGACAAGAAAAGCTTGATTATAACAACATGGAGAGAATGACAAGGAAAGCTTGATTATAACAACATGGAGAGAAAGCTTGATTATAACAACATGAGAGAGAAAGCTTGATTATAACAACATGGAGAGGGTGACAAGGAAAGCTTGATTATAACAACATGGAGAGGGTGACAAGGAAAGCTTGATTATAACAACATGGAGAGGGTGACAAGGAAAGCTTGATTATAACAACATGGAGAGGGGAAAGCTTGATTATAACAACATGGAGAGGGTGACAAGGAAAGCTTGATTATAACAACATGGAGAGAATGACAAGGAAAGCTTGATTATAACAACATTGAGAGGGTGACAAGGAAAGCTTGATTATAACAACATGGAGAGAATGACAAGAAAAGCTTGATTATAACAACATGGAGAGAATGACAAGGAAAGCTTGATTATAACAACATGGAGAGAATGACAAGAAAAGCTTGATTATAACAACATGGAGAGGGTGACAAGGAAAGCTTGATTATAACAACATGGAGAGGGTGACAAGAAAAGCTTGATTATAACAACATGGAGAGAATGACAAGAAAAGCTTGATTATAACAACATGGAGAGAATGACAAGAAAAGCTTGATTATAACAACATGGAGAGGGTGACAAGGAAAGCTTGATTATAACAACATGGAGAGAATGACAAGGAAAGCTTGATTATAACAACATGGAGAGAATGACAAGAAAAGCTTGATTATAACAACATGGAGAGAATGACAAGGAAAGCTTGATTATAACAACATGGAGAGAATGACAAGGAAAGCTTGATTATAACAACATGGAGAGAATGACAAGAAAAGCTTGATTATAACAACATGGAGAGAATGACAAGAAAAGCTTGATTATAACAACATGGAGAGAATGACAAGGAAAGCTTGATTATAACAACATGGAGAGAATGACAAGGAAAGCTTGATTATAACAACATGGAGAGAATGACAAGGAAAGCTTGATTATAACAACATGGAGAGGTGACAAGGATTATAACAACATGGAGAGAATGGTGACAAGAAAAGCTTGATTATAACAACATGGAGAGAATTGATTATAACAACATTATAACAACATGGAGAGAATGACAAGTAAAGCTTGATTATAACAACATGGAGAGTTTGACAAGGAAAGCTTGATTATAACAACATGGAGAGGGTGACAAGGAAAGCTTGATTATAACAACATGGAGAGGGTGACAAGAAAAGCATTTTCCTTTTTGTAATCTAGCCTTGAATTTTCAGTGAGAATTTTCTTATCAGAGATATACAAGGAAAAGGATTACTTACATGTAGAAAGGAAGCGAAATGCTGCAAGGGAAAGCTGAGGTGAGATAAAAGCCTTGTTGTGATCATCAGGTGTGTTGAATATGCTGAAGTCCTGTCTTAATAACTTTCTAGGTGCCTTCTGTCTGTTGTCAGCTGAAACAGAAAATGTTAATCCAAAATCAATTTTCAAGCTTGAATGGTTTGAGAAAACATTCAGAAGACAAACATTGTGTTAATGCCATGTCCTATTTAGTGCTTGTATATCCACATATTGTACACAGTACTAGTGCAATTATGGGATAAAAAAAATTCAAATCAAGATTCCATTATTAATTGGATGTGTAACATATACAAACACATATGTCAAAGGATGAGAATATTTAACTTGTGTCCTGCATGGATTCATTAGCAACAAAATCAAATTGCCTGGCTGGGAAATATTGATAGCCATAACCCTATACCTCAAGGCCTTTATAAAGAGTTTTGATGTTTCCATTGTGTTCAATGTATATCCTCTATAAGGCAACAACATCAACTGTTTGATAGCTGGATTTACCACCCTGTATCAACCAGGGTCATTTTGAGACAGGGTCTCCTGGTAGTAGCTGGTGTCTACTTTAAGAATATATAGGAGGTGTGTGGTATGCAATACAGAGCAATTGGAACTAAGCTTTAAGTGACTTGTTCAAGGACACAACACTTAAGCTTGAGACAGTCCACATCTCAGCATCATGATCATGAGCACTCCAATCTGCCTCAAGTAGATCAAAACCATGTTACACTTCAGATTATTACCTGAGGTTGCTGTCATAGCTCTATGATTGAAGTGAAGATTAGCCCCCTTTCTGAAGTGAATTTTACATTAGAGTACATAGCTTAGTGTTTAATACATGTAGTAGTTCTGACTGATGCATATAGAGCTTCAATTTCGATACTGGTTTACACTAAGACCATGATGAAGCTATCGATACCTTTAAACTGAGGATATTGATAAGTAATGGAATGTCTCATTGATATTACTGAGCACGAAAGTATGTGTATCAGAATATATAGTGACCTTCGCCTTTGACCTTCAAAACTATAAACTAATCCTAAGCAAACAATTTCAGTAAGGAAATATTGTATGAAGTTGGGGTTAGATTGGCAAAAGCAAACTCTAGTTTCCATTTTTATCTATAGTAAATGTGACCTTGACCTTTCACCTTTGAGTTGAAAAACAATTCCATTCAAGCACTTTCAATGCGGAAGCACTGTATGAAGTTTAACCTGGGTTGGGCCTAAAAAACTCAAGTTATGGCACGAATACAAAAAAAAACCCAAACAATTGTAAAAATTAAAAGGTTTTCGATTTATAGCAAGTGGCCTTGACATTTAACCTAATGGCATGTAAAGCTAAATCAAGCCAACACTTCATACGAGGTAACACTGGATAAAGTCTGAGTGCATGTGGCCAAATATAACTGGAGATATTTTGCACGTACTGGTTTTCTATTTTCAGCAACAGTGACCTTGACCTTTAACCTTGGGAGATGAAAAGCAACATACCCCAGACAAGCACTTCCTTAAAGGAGGCTTGGCATAAAGTATCAGTACCATTAGCCCAACAGCATTTGAGATACTGTACAGAAACCAAAAACTGGATGGCCAGACAAACTGACAGACAAACTGATTACCACAGGGCACCCGCATCTCGATGCGAGGCCCTAATAATGAATAATTAATAGACTCAAACATAGAAATATACAGTCATCATCTTACATCACCAGGTAATCCAGAAAGAAAAATTAGATCTGTTTTCTTAGAGTTGGTGTTCTGGGAATTAAAATAGCCAGACCTGGTGAGAACTGTTTAAACGCAATTTCAAATACTACAATGTGAACATGTTAAACAGTGAATGTGACTGCTCAGAGTAGAAAAATCAATACCTGCACAAGCACAAGTTGAGAATATCAAAAACATTAATTAGTTAGTTTTAAGTGACAATGAATTTTATTGCTGTGCTATTTTAAGATTTTGGTCTTTCCTAAACTCGGCCACAATTATTGTTTAATAATTAATACATATACCAAACAGATACCAGGTAGATATATATTTTACCATCAATTACTCCAACTGTAGAAGATTTACACTAAACAGAGAGTATATAATGAATGACATAAGCCCAGGAACATCATTAGTGATAGCTAATAATATTTATCTAAACAAAATTCAAAAATGACAAATTACATGCACCTGATTATCCAATCTGGATTGGCAGTGTATATCTTGTAATTATTTCAACCTAAAAAAATTCAAAGAATTCCTATCTTTTTGTGCAAGAAGTTGTCAATTTTGAGACAAACTCGTAACACTGGGTTGGTTTTCAAAAGATGCAGGTGAATGAAAATTATGGTGAAGTTTTATGGTTGTCATAGAGATCTCATTGAGAAAGTTTCTTTTTCTTTGCGCGATAGGAAGCTAGACATGTATGATGTTTGTAACTTAGTTTGTGTGTTGGTTCCATTGTGATAAACCTTGTTCTCATTTGAGAATGTGACATTAATTTCATAGATTGACCAAGGTTTAGAAGGCTGGTGTCACTGATGAAGCAGAAGATGCTTACTCTTCCTGAACACCTGATCTTATTCTACTTGTACTTTTTTCAGGTTTTTTTTTCAGGAGTCTCCATGTAAATCTTTCTTTTATTCCTATTGTTCATCCTAATTTTATTGAATTTGACTTTGGATTATGATTCTGTTGACGTGTTGGTATTTTCTTGCTTTCTGTTGTTAGAAATCAAACAGAGGTCAGGATATAGCCAGTTTGATATTCAATAAAGATGTATGATTACTTATGTATCACCAGCCAGGGTTTATAAGCATTAATAAACCACTGTACCATTTATTTTTCTTTTTTTTATCTCTCTAGAGTCCATGGTAATTTCTTTGTTTCAAAAGGCGATACAGATGGCTTCAAAAACAAGTAAGAGGAAGCAATAGCTAAGATACATTATGGAAACTGATCTGGAACAGAGGAATGTATTGATAGGAATCATTTTTAAAAACACAATTGTTTTGAAAATACTTTGTTCATACATCAAATGGTTTACTATCTGCAGGTTTGGTGTTCTCTCTTTTTCCATTGATTTGATACATGTATGTTGGTTGTTATCGTATTTACTTGAACCATTCACCAAATAGTGACTATAAAGGGACAAGCCATTTCTCTAAGAGACCAGACTGACATCCCTACCATTGATTCTGGCTCAGGTTTAGCTAACATTACACCAAGCCTAGGTAAGCTTTCTCACACATGTATTGATTAGGATAGCCACAGATGCCCTACATGGGTTCCAATGATGGATTTTCTTTTCCAATAGGAAATACTCACCATATACACATGAACAGTTACATTAACACACATAGGCCAATTGTTCAACCTCAAAGCAGACATATAAAGTCCTCTATAGGACTCAAGCTTAACACCACAATTCCTTTCAATACAAATAGATTACTGTAACTAATGGATTCCTTCACTTATATCAGGTAGCTAGATTTGTCCACAGAAATATTGGTAAACAAGAAAGTTCCAACTGGGAGCACTAATAATTTGAATGTAATATGACAATTTTCAGGTAGACAAGCATCAATATAAAGATAACTCAAATTTCTTGTATAGTGTCATGTTAGATACAATAGTCTTTTAGTGCCTGAGTGGTGCAGTGGTAACGTTCTTGCCTTTCACCCAGCCGTCCAGAATTTGATAGCAAGAATGGGTGTGAAAAAGTAGGGGTCACCTGTCCGACCACACCGGTTCTCCTTGGGTACTATGGTTTCTCCCACAGTAAGAAGCCTTGCAAGGCTTTCATCCGGGCCAACAACAGTAATTAGTATAAGTTGCAATTGTTGTAAAATAATGAAAGTTTATAAATGTATTTTTTGATAAGTAGTAAGAAAAAACTATAAAATTGTATTGTGAAAATTGATCCTCAAAAGATTTCTGGCAAAATATACATGCATTTTATTTCCTATCTGGTAAACAGATCCATGGAGATCACTAATGATACTGATACACTTTTAGGTTAGGATTGTGTTGCTTGATACACCATGCATATAACAAGGGCTTTATAACAGGTAGATATATGACCTGTATTGATCATGTTTCCATTTGTAATCTGAACTGGAAAACAAGTTGAAAGGCTGGTTTTCTGATAAGGCTATAATGCACTATGTGCTGGTAATTTTGCAAACAATACAGCTTTACACTTTGGCAACCATGTCAAACATAAATAGAACTTTGATTCTATTTTTTTGTGTTTTGCAGCCTGAACAGCAAGACCACCATTTGGCTTTTATATGGACAAACCAATTTTTCAATATTTTAAATGAAGCATTTCAGGCATAAATCAAATGAGACTTGCATAGGCATGCTAGACAGCCCAAGACTCCTCAGAGAGCAAATTAGTGTCAGAAGGTCTCCCTTTAATTTCATAAATCAACAACTGCTGTTCGACTATATATGACTAGTACTGGTCAAAGCAATACACAAAATCTGCCCTAGACCATGTACATAGCCATATGTGCAAATTTCATCCAGAAATAACCTGTTGAAACTCAATAAATAAGTTATAACAACTGAAAATGCCTCAGCCGACTACACACACATATTGACCATCCTGGATCTAGAGTTCTCATCAGCTCTAAGTAATGACATTTGGACGGAGACATAAATTGATTTTGCACCAAATAAGAATAAAATTTCTAAAGTAAAAAAAATGTATTGGTCCCTAGTTCCCCATAGCTAGGACATCCAGAGATCCCATCTTTCATTGACACTTCAACTTGAACTCACCTTGAACAGGACATCTGTGATCTCAGCTTCCTGAAAATGCAAAATGCCGCAGGACCACCGCAGCTCTTAACTGAACTCTATATTGTACTAGTCAACATGACTTCTAGAATTCACTCCTACCGTTAACATATATACCTTTAGCAAATTTGATTATCAGTTGTTTTACTTAAAAAAAAAAAAAAAATGAAAATAAGAGCAATGGACCTCCTCAAACTTTAATTAATGTTTGGTGTGGGTTATTTATGATATCCCAATTTATGACTATTGATTTAGCACCAATCTAAACACATCTGCTTTAATTACTTATTGAACTGGGGCTTCACAGACTTCATTACAGTAATTGAAGATATTTTATGACCTCGTCATGATGCGATCAAGTCATTTCAAACGCAGCTATATTTTGCACTAATTTCAAAAAAAAAAAAATGCCTTTAGTTAATTACATACACAAAGTGTAGAGAAGACAGGGTGTATAATTATCTGGTGTTTGAAAGAGCTTGTTTACATATCCTCAACACAAGTAAAAAAACTCTACAGATTTGAGGAAAATTTGATATTTGGTAAATCAAGAATACACAAAAAGTTAAATACGGGATATTATATTATTTCCCAGCAGTTGTAGCCACTGTTAAATTAGGAGTATATAATACTTTATGTTATATCTACAGTTAATGTACACTTTATGTATGTGTGGACATAATGATAACTTAAGATACTATAAAAACACAAATGCAAAACTTAATTAGAAAAATGTCAGCAACTATTTCTATTTCACAATTATCAATAAAAGAAGATGTTTTACAAACAGTGTTTCCAAAATGCTTTAAATGACAGGATATGGTTCAATTTAGCCTTGTCAATACACGTGATCAATGTCAGAGTAATGAACATGAAATATATACATACTAAGTGTGTCCGTTTCATCAATTATCTCCCCTTGGATGATCTCCTCAATGACATCTTCAAGGGTGACAACACCTAGTGTCTCATAAAATGGGTCCCCTTCGCCTTCATTGTTTACACGTCTTACAATGGCCATGTGAGAATGTCCTGAAAATACAACAAAGGAAATAATTTCACAGCAATGATACATTATTACATGATATCTGTAACTATGTCCGATATTATTATCTGTTTGTACCATACTTTGGAATTAATTCTATAATTTCCTGTTAAGTATACATACCTGCACGGTTATAAATTATGTGGAGTTATAAAAGAATAAACAACTTGACAGGTAGTATTTAATCAAAAGTCGCTACAGGTAAGTGATATAATTATCGCACAGGTAGCTACAGGTAAGTGATATAATTATCGCATAGGTAGCTCTGCGTATATCTAAGTCAACAGACTCCATAACCATGAAATTATACATGTGTAAGTACATGATGATATACATGTGGGTTAGATGCATCTGATTATAAGAAATCAACTGTCTCTATTAGCTTGTTGCCAGTTTTCTTCAAAAATTCTGGTTGTCTCTTTTCCTCTACAATTCTGGTTGTCTCTTTTCCTCTACAATTCTGGTTGTCTCTTTTCCTCTACAATTCTGGTTGTCTCTTTTCCTCTACAATTCTGGTTGTCTCTTTTCCTCTACAATTCTGGTTGTCTCTTTTCCTCTACAATTCTGGTTGTCTCTTTTCCTCTACAATTCTGGTTGTCTCTTTTCCTCTACAATTCTGGTTGTCTCTTTTCCTCTACAATTCTGGTTGTCTCTTTTCCTCTACAATTCTGGTTGTCTCTTTTCCTCTACAATTCTGGTTGTCTCTTTTCCTCTACAATTCTGGTTGTCTCTTTTCCTCTACAATTCTGGTTGTCTCTTTTCCTCTACAATTCTGGTGACCGTTTTTCATTTACAAGAAGCCGAAGGGCTTTAACAGTCACCTGAATCACAATGCTTATAACATGTCACAGAAAAGACTTTATAAAAAAATAGGCCCAATGGGCCTGCAGCATTCACCTGGTGTATATATACCAGCTAAATATCATGCCTCTAGGTCTTTTAGTTCATGAGAAGAAGTCATTAAAAGGTTTTCACAAATCGGACCCCAGTGACCTCGAATATTTTTCAAGGTCATTTCTTTTCGCAATCTTTGTCAGGCTTCATTCTAGGAACATACCAGTCAAATATCATGCCTAAAGACCTTTAAGTTCATGAGAAAAAGTCATTTAAATGTTTTAAGAAAATTCACTCCTGCGACCTTGAATATAAGTCAAGGTCACATCTTTTCTCAGGCTTCTTCCTAGAAGCATACCAGCCAAATTTCAAAATGTTTGGTCCATTGGTTTATCAGCACCTGGGGATTAGCTGAGGTCAATGACAAAAACTATCATATTTATTGACATTAATATCCACTTTGATTCGACTACTTTTTTCACCATATGAATATTACAACCTGTTTCACAATTATACTATATATTTTAACAAAGACATTTCAGTATTAATTGTATTTTCAACACTTTTCACAATGAAATTATTTGACTTAGTTATGATTTCACTAACTGCAGTTTTTATGTTTTTATATACTGCTTGTATAGTAATATTTGTGAATGTATAAATTTATCGTTGCACTAATATGCCAAGAAGTAATTATGTGCTAAAATTTGATTGCACCAAATGAGTATGTTTGCAGTCTTAAGCATCACTTTTCCATCACCTAATACCTGTTTAAATCTTTATGAGAATATATATATAAATGCCATTTGTGTGAATATATATATTATAAACACAAACAATGGTATATATTACGGTACTTAGATGTGCTACAGTGTCACATATAATATCAGCAGTAGAAATCACAACACATATTCCACAACAGCTTATGCATTAATTGGTTGAGTGAGTCGTTCGCGTGACAACAGGATGGAGATGTCAGTTTGTCTACTAGCTGAACTTATATATAATGATGCGTGTCTTGATTCAACCTGATCACTTTGTCCTCAATAGGTTTAAATACATGTTATATCTAATTTGGTTTAGCCTACCAGGATATATTCATATTGCACAATGTTATATCAGATTCTGTTTAAATTAGGATCCAATTATTTGATAAAATTAATTATATAGATAGTTTTAGAAATAATAATACTATTTACATTAAAGTTTCTCACTGCATCAAGCATTTAAGAGTTTCTAGTGTAGCTGGTATCATAACAGTATAAATGTGCACAGCACTAGTAGACTTAATACCAGGTACAAATGTATTTATACATACCATATATATGTATATGAACTGACAACTAATACACACACAAATTACTGATAATAAGAACAGATTTAATTTTGTTTCGATCCATTACTTTCGTTGACATCCATATTTTATAACTGTACAGTCTACAGTTATATGGAGTTGATGTTGGGTCTACAATTACCAGTGGAAATGATATGTAACAGGGAGGAGTAATGAAATTCTGTCTCCTGTAGGGCTTAATGTACAAGTGACCTTTACAACTCTAGCCGGACACTGTGTTTAACACGAGACTCTGTTGCCTACTTAAACAAGTGACTATTTGGTCTTTAACCCGAGACTACACTGCCTTCTTGCACAAGTGACCATTTAGTCTCTAAATGGAGACTCCACTGCCTTCTTGTACAAGTGACCATTTGGTCTCTAGACGGAGACTCCACCGTCTTCTTGTACAAGTGACCATTTGGTCTCTAGACGGAGACTCCACCGTCTTCTTGTACAAGTGACCATTTGGTCTCTAGATGGAGACTCTGCTGCCGTCTTGTACAAGTGACCATTTGGTCTCTAGATTGAGACTCCACTGCCTGCTTGTACAAGTGACCATTTGGTCTCTAGATTGAGACTCTGCTGCCTTCTTGTACAAGTGACCATTTGCTTTCTAGATGGAGACTCCACTGACGTCTTGTACAAGTGACCATTTGGTCTCTAAATGGAGACTCCACTGCCTTCTTGTACAAGTGACCATTTGGTCTCTAAATGGAGACTCCACTGCCTTCTTGTACAAGTGACTATTTGGTCTCTTAGATGGAGACTCTGCTGCCTTCTTGTACAAGTGACCATTTGGTCTCTAGATGGAGACTCTTGGATGGTCTTTATATGGCCACTCTACTGCTCGCTTGTAAAAGTCACCTTTTGGTCTTTAGTTGGACACTCCAACTACCAGACTAAAGGAAAATTCCCTCTACCCAAGGCTAGTAATTTAAGGTAATTAAACCTGTATCATTAAATTCTACATGTAATATAAATGTTATATAGAACAATGAAGTAGATATATTGAATCTTCCTAGATAGCTAATAAATAACATCATGCAAAGAACAAAAATGTACATTACATATATGAAAGAAAAGCAGCTGTCAACACTTAAGTATTAGAGCCATGCCTTGATCAAGTGCTTTTGTAATGCTCCCCATATGTCCCCCAAATTATCAGGAGGCATTATATGATTCACTGTACACAAACAGAATTACATGTTTACACAGAGCAGTTATGAGTACCATGATAGGACTGGAGACAAGTTTTTCAAGCTCAGGTCAATGATATATCTGTTAACTTTATACATGAACATGTCTCCATGGAGACTACTCACATTTCAATCAGATTAGCAACATATATAGTGAGTGAAAATGTTATCTTATCAAATATTACTAATGATATTTTTAGCCAAACCACTGATCATGACCTTAGAAATATATAACAGAGTACTACACCTGGCCTTGACCTAAGAGAATGCTAGTTTTTGGAAAGCGTTCTCACCCTTGTGATAATGCTGTCCCCAACATCATGTGATCATGTAGCATTCTGCTTCTGTCCTTAGTGAATGCTAATTTTCTGTGAGTGTCCCTAACCTTTGTGCCTGTGATGAGTGTCTCTGATCTTAGTTAGCAAATGCCTCTAACCTTAAATTTATGAATGTTAAATGTGGTGTTTTTTTATCATGATGAACCTTTCACCTTGGAGAATGCTAAATTTGGTGAGTGTCCTTGATCTTGCTGAGCACTGAATTTTGTGCATGTACCTGACCTTGTTTAGCGCTGAATTTTGTGAGTGTCCCTGACCTTGGTGAGTGCTGAGTCTGGTGAGTGTTCCTGGCCTTGGTGACAAGTGAGTGTCCATGATCTCTGTGAATGCTTATTTTGGTGAATGTCCCAACCTTGCTGACATTGATAGTGGTGAATGCATGACCATGACCTTAGTGATTGACCCTGCAATGATGTTGGCAGGGGCCTCAATTGGTGCATTTGGTGCAAAATTGGTGAATGTTATATTGAAATAACCTTAAAATGTTAACAACCTTATCTGAATGAAAAGGGGCACAGCAAAACGTTTTGAGCCTCAGACAGAAGGAGAATGCTTTTGCTATTTAATTTTTGATAAACACACTTGTTTCATCTAATAAGCTCATCAATGATACCTAGAACTTAACATCTTGGTTCCCTAACTGATTATAGAACTTAACATCTTGGTTCCCTAACTTATCATAGAACTCAACATCTTGGTTCCCTAACTGATCACAGAACTCAACACCTTAGTTCCCTAACTGATCACAGAACGTAACATCTAGGTTCCCTAATTGATCATAGAACTTAACATCTTGGTTCCCTAACTGATCACAGAATGTAACATCTTGGTTCCCTAAATGATCATAGAACTTAACATCTTGGTTCCCTAACTGATCATAGAACTTAACATCTTGGTTCCCTAACTGATCATAGAACTTAACATCTTGGTTCCCTAACTGATTATAGAACTTAACATCTTGGTTCCCTAACTGATCATAGAACTCAACATCTTGGTTCCCTAACTGATCATAGAACTTAACATCTTGGTTCCCTAACTTATCCTAGAACTCAACATCTTGGTTCCCTAACTTATCACAGAACTCAACATCTTGGTTCCCTAACTGATCATAGAACTTAACATCTTGGTTCCCTAACTTATCATAGAACTCAACATCTTGGTTCCCTAACTGATCATAGAACTCAACATTTTGGTTCCCTAACTTATCACAGAACTCAACATCTTGGTTCCCTAACTGATCATAGAACTCAACATCTTGGTTCCCTAACTTATCATAGAACTCAACATCTTGGTTCCCTAACTGATCATAGAACTTAACATCTTGGTTCCCTAACTGATCATAGAACTCAACATCTTGGTTCCCTAACTTATCATAGAACTCAACATCTTGGTTCCCTAACTGATCATAGAACTTAACATCTTGGTTCCCTAACTGATTATAGAACTTAACATCTTGGTTCCCTAACTGATCACAGAACGTAACATCTTGGTTCCCTAACTGATTATAGAAGTCAACATCTTGGTTCCCTAACTGATTATAGAACTCAACATTTTGGTTCCCTAACTGATCATAGAACTTAACATCTTGGTTCCCTAACTGATCATAGAACTTAACATCTTGGTTCCCTAACTTATCATAGAACTCAACATCTTGGTTCCCTAACTGATTATAGAACTCAACATCTTGGTTCCCTAACTTATCATAGAACTTAACATCTTGGTTCCCTAACCGATCATAGAACTTAACATCTTGGTTCCCTAACTTATCATAGAACTCAACATCTTGGTTCCCTAACTTATCACAGAACTCAACATCTTGGTTCCCTAACTGATTATAGAACTTAACATCTTAGTTTTAGCTTTCCACATGTACAGCAGCACTCAGCTCAACATAATCCTCAAATCTCTAACCTTGAAGACATTTTTTTTCAGTCTTGGAAAGAGTTGAAAAATGTAGATTCCATCTCAAATTGGCTGGTGTGGATCAGGAATGGTGCATTATCTTTGTGAAGCAGAATCCCTTGACAGGTTTCAATTCTTCAGCACATTTCCTTGATTGCTAGCTATATGCACATCAGCAGGTTAGTGTAATACTCCCCATTAATTGTGGTTCCATGAAGTAGGTAGTCTATGTAAATCACTCCTTCATTATCCCACAAGTGGTCTCCATAACCTTTTTTGTGGATCTAGTGGCTTTGAACAATTCTTTGTCTTTAGATGTTTCTATTTCACTGATCCCTACTAACTCTCTATGATTAAGCCAGGTTTCATCACAGGTTATATTACAACTATGAAAATTAAAACCATCTGATTTAAGTTGTAGTAAGTTAGGAAGACTCCACTGATGGTGACTATCAATCACTTCATGTCATCAGAATGTATTCTTGAGAGCGATGTTACACATACAGTACCTACAGGACATGTGTAGTTTGTTATCAGGTATGTATATAGTTCCACATGAAATGGAGTACTACAACAGTTTTCCATCCTTGGTCTGTGTAGTGTCAATGTTTTCTGGGTTTGTACTGGTTGCTGGCCATCCTGACAGGGTGTCATTTTCTTAACTCTCTCTCTCTCTCTCTGCCATGTTGGAATTCTTCACCCAGCATTTGATAGTTGCAGACGAAGGGAAAGACTTCCCATAAACAACAGTCTGTGTTAACCAATATAGTGGGGATATGTCTCCCCAACTAAGAGTTAGGGGAGTTCAGAAGTATGATCCTTCAGAATATCAGTAGCTAAGACAAAGATGTAAATTAGGTGTGATGCATTTTACCTTCCTACAGAGAAAATGTGTGAGGCTCAAAACTTTTTGTTATATTAGTATCTAGTTATCTAGTATTACATAACTGGTAATTATGTCATCCTCTAGTATTATATAACTGGTAATTATGTCATCCCCTAGTATTATATAACTGGTAATTATGTCATCCTCTAGTATTATATAACTGGTAATTATGTCATCCCCTAGTATTATATAACTGGTAATTATGTCATCCTCTAGTATTATATAACGGGTAATTATGTCATCCCCTAGTATTATATAACGGGTAATTATGTCATCCTCTAGTATTATATAACTGGTAATTATGTCATTCCCTAGTATTATATAACTGGTGATTATGTCATCATGTAGTATTATATAACTGGTAATTATGTCATCCCCTAGTATTATATAACTGGTAATTATGTCATCCCCTAGTATTATATAACTGGTAATTATGTCATCCTCTAGTATTATATAACTGGTAATTATGTCATTCCCTAGTATTATATAACTGTAGTATTATATAACTGGTAATTATGTCATCCCCTAGTATTATATAACTGGTAATTATGTCATCCCCTAGTATTATATAACTGGTAATTATGTCATCCCCTAGTATTATATAACTGGTAATTATGTCATCCCCTAGTATTATATAACTGGTAATTATGTCATCCCCTAGTATTATATAACTGGTAATTATGTCATCCTCTAGTATTATATAACTGGTAATTATGTCATCCTCTAGTATTATATAACTGGTAATTATGTCATGCCCTAGTATTACATAACTGGTAATTATGTCATCCCCTAGTATTATATAACTGGTAATTATGTCATCCCCTAGTATTATATAACTGGTAATTATGTCATCCCCTAGTATTATATAGCTGGTTATTATGTCATCCCCTGGTATTATATAACTGGTAATTATGTCATCCTCTAGTATTATATAACTGGTAATTATGTCATGTCATCATGTAGTATTATATAACTGGTAATTATGTCATCCTCTAGTATTATATAACGGGTAATTATGTCATCCTCTAGTATTATATAACGGGTAATTATGTCATCCCCTAGTATTATATAACTGGTAATTATGTCATCCTCTAGTATTATATAACTGGTAATTATGTCATCCCCTAGTATTATATAACTGGTAATTATGATTAGTCTACTGCTCATATTTATAATAAAAGACTAACTTACTATGTATAGTTAGCAAGGTTGAGATCAAATTGTATAGTGTCCAAAGATGATGTTAAGGTTAGTGTTGCTTGTGTGAAGGAAAATGTTTCAAGGTGCCATCAAACTGAAACATCAGAGGGAGCAGCACATGATAACCTATTTATAACACATACCAAGGAAGACAAGGAGAAACATTGTTTGTGAGGAGCGTTACAGTTATTAACCAGATATCAAACAGAAAAACAATAACAGAAACAATAAAAAGTCAAAGTTGAAAAGATCCCAAGTGTAGCAAGATGAAGAGCAGTTCTCTGTCTTGTCAGTGTTCCGAATAACATGCACAGAAGAAAGCCATAAATTAACAGTTATAGTAAATGTATATCCAGCCATTAATTCATCATAACATATACAATGTAGATCCTACTGGAGATAGAGAGGTAACACAACAAGTTAACATGTGATAGATGTTATTTCTTTGACTAGAGATAGTTTCAAAAGTTAAAAGACATCAGATTTAGCAAGTATGTTTTTTAACTTTTGAAACACCACTACAACAAGTTTGTATGATCAGTTTCCACCAAAATAAAAAAAATGTTTTTCAAAGCTGCTTTTACCAGACCTGTACCTACACGTTTTGTTTGTGTCAGCAGTCATAATGATATAACTTTTGGTGAAATACTTGTAAATTTTCACTTATTTTACACATGTTCGTGGGTGTGTGACTTTCCCTGTGGTATAACATGTCTGTTTATACAACAGTAGGAATGATTAATTGATGCCTGGAGAGTGGAATAACATTCACCTATCATGGTAGACTATCATTATATACAGTGGTACAAAAAGTAGTGTTATTGTTATATAAATTGTGCTGACAGGTTATCAAAGATAAACATTGGGGTAAATTGTAATGGAATTGTTCATTTACCACATGTACATACAATGTTGTATTGTACTCCATGCATTAATGTACTTCCACATGTAAATATATTATTCATATTATTCATATCATACTTTATACATTTATGTATGGACCAGTCCTTAAGCATGAAACTAATTAAGTCTCAAAACACAACCATTCTGAACTAGATTTGTCAGACAAGTCATGAAAACTTATATCTTATATTATATAGAGGGGAGATAATCTCATTTTAGTTTGAATCTATAGACCTTCTTACCTTTCCTGAAATCTTGCAGCATTTGGTCCAGTTTCTGGTCATCAAACACAAAAACAAGCGGGTGCTGGAAGAACTTGATGACAGTTTTCAACGGTGTTTTATCATCAGGATCCACTAAGGCAAGATCCTTGATGTTAAGTAAAGCAACAATATTACTTTTATCGCCATCATACACTGGAATACGGGTGTAGCCCCGCTTCATAATTTCTGTCACTGTCTCAAAATCTAGAAGAGATAAATAATCCAACATATACACATCCTCAATTTTGGTCATAATATCTTTTACAGGTTTTCTTGTCAATTCTAGTGCACCTTCTATAATATCCACCTCCTCTTTACGGAGGTCATTAAAATCTTTAGTCACTCTGACAAGTTCTGACAATTTTTCACGGTCATACACCTGACCAATTTCTTCTCCCAGAATTTTATCCAATATAAGACTTATAGGAAATGATAATGGAAATGTGATAAGCATGAAGAGACGTGTAAGCCAGATAGTCCGAGCTCCCACAGCCAGTCCATGTCGAGAACAGATAGCCTGTGGAATGATCTCTCCAAATATCACAATGCCAAGTGTGGCCCCTATCACTGCATACAGACCGTTACTCACATCATCTAGTAATATTGTAAGTGTATTGTTGACAAGGACATTCCCTAACAACAGTGTGCAAAGGAGGAAGTTACCACGCTTCCTAACTGGGTTGATCTTTTTTGCATAACTTTTTTCATCTTTAGAACCACATTTTTCTATAATTTTCAGTTCTGTTTTGTCGAGGGCCATCAATCCAAGATTGAGACCACTAAAGAGACCAGAGAGAACCAGCAGTAAGGAAATGAGGCAGATCTGTATCCACAATGGCAGCAGTGTCTTCTCCTCCTCCTTCACATGCACTATGATGCGAGATAGACCATTTTCTCCCTGGTGGTACCAGCAGCTTCCTATCTGCTGACCCTTTGTACAGATGTAGTAATACTTCTCCCCTGTCCCGAAGGAGCGAAGATTTACTGTCACTGCAGCATAACGGCCATCAGTACTAGCTTCTGAAACCTACAAAATAAAGTTACGGTAAGTCATGGTCCTGATGGGAAGAGATGTTCAGACAAGTTTTTGCATGATTCTAATATTTAACACTCTCGATTCTGTCCCTTATTTCCTTGTTAAAATTATAAATAATGGCTGCTGACAGTTCTTAAAAAATTGCAACAATATACCAGTGTTTCATGCCTTATATATGTAACATATCGCAACATAACCTCACCAACTATCACCAAGGTACATGTATGTCAACTCATGATAATATAGACAGCTGAATATGGGTGGCTTAAAATGAAATAAGGGGCATAACTCATGTGAGACACAAAACCCAACTTCAACATGCAAAATTATATCAGAGTTTGCATGTAAGTTGTCCCTCCAGCCTACCAATTCTATACATACCTGCAGTTAATAATGTATAATTAAAGCAAAATGCCAACATGTAATTAGAGGTGATACTGAATGGCTAATAAAGATAGATACTCTAGTCTTGACCAACTAATGTGACAGTAAATTCTTAACAGAGGGCCGTAACCTTACAGATATAAATTTTTAACAGACATTTTTTGGTAGACAACGAAGGATCTTACATGCAACTAATCTCAGAATTATAAACGTATCATCTGGTGGCACGAACATAAATTCAAAATTGAAACAATTTTAAAATCATTTTATCATTTTTTTGTTCAGATATTGCCCAAATTACTTCTTGTTGCAACATCTCTCTTTTTTATCCAGTATAACATCATGGTATTTTATATCATTATAACATCATGGTATTTTATATCATTATAACATCCATTATAACATCATGGTATTTTATATCATTATAACATCATGGTATTTTATATCACATCATGGTATTTTATATCATTATAACATCATGGTATTTTATATCATTATAACATCATGGTATTTTATATCATTATAACATCATGGTATTTTATATCATTACAACATCATGGTATTTTATATCATTATAACATCATGGTATTTTATATCCATTATAACATCATGGTATTTTATATCATTATAACATCATGGTATTTTATATCATTATAACATCATGGTATTTTATATCATTATAACATCATGGTATTTTATATCATTATAACATCCATTATAACATCATGGTATTTTATATCATTATAACATCATGGTATTTTATATCATTATAACATCATGGTATTTTATATCATTATAACATCATGGTATTTTATAACATCATGGTATTTTATATCCATTATAACATCATGGTATTTTATATCATTATAACATCATGGTATTTTATATCATTATAACATCCATTATAACATCATGGTATTTTATATCATTATAACATCATGGTATTTTATATCATTATAACATCATGGTATTTTATATCATTATAACATCATGGTATTTTATATCATTATAACATCCATTATAACATCATGGTATTTTATATCATTATAACATCCATTATAACATCATGGTATTTTATATCATTATAACATCATTATAACATCATGGTATTTTATATCATTATTTTATATCCATTATAACATCATGGTATTTTATATCCATTATAACATCATGGTATTTTATATCATTATAACATCCATTACAACATCATGGTATTTTATATCATTATAACATCCATTATAACATCATGGTATTTTATATCATTATAACATCATGGTATTTTATATCATTATAACATCCATTATAACATCATGGTATTTTATATCCATTATAACATCATGGTATTTTATATCATTATAACATCATGGTATTTTATATCATTATAACATCATGGTATTTTATATCATTATAATCATTATAACATCATGGTATTTTATATCATTATAACATCCATTATAACATCATGGTATTTTATATCATTATAACATCATGGTATTTTATATCCATTATAACATCATGGTATTTTATATCATTATAACATCCATTATAACATCATGGTATTTTATATCCATTATAACATCATGGTATTTTATATCATTATAACATCCATTATAACATCATGGTATTTTATATCCATTATAACATCATGGTATTTTATATCATTATAACATCATGGTATTTTATTTAACATCCATTATAACATCATGGTATTTTATATCATTATAACATCATGGTATTTTATATCCATTATAACATCATGGTATTTTATATCATTATAACATCATGGTATTTTATATCATATAACATCATGGTATTTTATATCATTATAACATCATGGTATTTTATATCATCATCATGGTATTTTATATCCATTATAACATCATGGTATTTTATATCATTATAACATCATGGTATTTTATATCATTATAACATCATGGTATTTTATATCATTATAACATCCATTATAACATCATGGTATTTTATATCCATTATAACATCATGGTATTTTATATCATTATAACATCATGGTATTTTATATCCATTATAACATCATGGTATTTTATATCATTATAACATCATGGTATTTTATATCATTATAACATCATGGTATTTTATATCATTATAACATCATGGTATTTTATATCATTATAACATCATGGTATTTTATATCATTATAACATCATGGTATTTTATATCATTATAACATCATGGTATTTTATATCATTATAACATCATGGTATTTTATATCATTATAACATCCATTATAACATCATGGTATTTTATATCATTATAACATCATGGTATTTTATATCATTTATAACATCATGGTATTTTATATCATTATAACATCATGGTATTTTATATCATTATAACATCATGGTATTTTATATCATTATTATAACATCATGGTATTTTATATCCATTATAACATCATGGTATTTTATATCATTATAACATCATGGTATTTTATATCATTATAACATCATGGTATTTTATATCCATTACAACATCATGGTATTTTATATCATTATAACATCCATTATAACATCATGGTATTTTATATCATTATAACATCATGGTATTTTATATCATTATAACATCATGGTATTTCATATCATTATAACATCATGGTATTTTATATCATTATAACATCATGGTATTTGATATCCATTATAACATCCATTATAACATCATGGTATTTTATATCATTATAACATCATGGTATTTTATATCATTATAACATCCATTATAACATCATGGTATTTTATGCTTTTCTTCCTCTATACATTTGCTCTGAGTGTTGATACAATTCCATGTATGGTGTAGAGATGTACATTTGGTTTATATCAGACTCTAGTTACATAACCCTGACCTGATCCAGTGATACTCCTTTAAGGTAGAGTATACTGTGTACTTATATGTACATAACACAGTAGATAACAACAAATTGTCTAGACAACAGAATTACAATGAGCATAAACAGATTTTTTTCACCTTTGGGAATGGGGACTATGGCTTTGAATTTGGTTGAAAAGAGTGACAACATAGAAAAATAGAAAAATAAAACTCTATTCTACTTCAGCCATACTAAATAGGTTTATGTTTTTCTAGTGTAGCTCATATGCTTCACAAACATCTGAACCAAACACTGGCTGTCAACAAATTGTACAATAAACACTTCAGAATTTTTGACATTTTGTTATAATACTATTATTTGCGGAATCTTAATGTTTAAATTAGGAAAAATTAATGTATAGTCACAGCCAATTGGGCCAAATCACACTATATACATTCAATACAAGTGGTGCAGTATAATAACTATGTAAAGTCTACTTTTTTAAAGTAACTTGATAAGGGCATGATATTGTCCGTGAATACATGCATACACAACACTGGTGTTAGAAATCAATTTTTGTTTTGCATTTTGGCAGAACTTCAATATTTTTTCTTTTCTGAATTTTTTTTAAATCTAAAGTTTGCAGATTTAAAACTGCATTGCAAAATCATATATTTCCATAATGCTTAATTTTTTCAGTTTTTCAAAACAAAACTTATTTGTGGGGCTTTGATTTTGTGGATAAACAGTACTCAAGAAGATATCCAACTGTACTTTAAATGAATATTCAGTATAAACTGTTTGTTTATCATTTCATAGACAGATGAGTTGTGGATTAAACTTATCCACAAAATCATTGAAAATAAACCCCCATGAAACTTAATAATTTTACAGAATTAGTGTCACAAACAGTGGGTCAAAGCCTGGTGACCTACCTCACATTAAATGTGACTTTACATAGCTGACTACAATCCTGACTACATGATAAAACCTCTACCTATTTAATGATATACTTGACCTCTATATTTCTATCTTTCCCACAATACAAAACACTATGAAGATATATAATAGACAAAATGTCTTTGATCTATTAATTCTAGACTGTTCATGTCAATTAGACCTATGCATGGTAATCATGGAGCGACTATGACGTCCTTTTAGTGTATTACACGGCTATCATTGATCAGCCCTGACGTAGGTGTTAAAGTCACTGTGTACAATGTGTATATTTTTAGGCTCAGTAATTGTTTTTAATGACACAAAATAGCCTAACTGCCAAGTTTAACTCAATGGCTAGTTATAAATATAAATGCAATGTAACATATACACCATGTACATGCAAGTACATCACATTCATTACCACATATCAAGAATGAAATATACATTATGTATAAAATCTGGGTATTTTTATACATACAGGTTAGAGCAATTACCTGTGATTGTATTCATTTTGGAAAAACAAAAATTTACAGTTTAATTCTGGAATTTTAATTAAATTCTGGAAATTAAATGACCAATATTAAGTAATAGCTAAATCTTGTTAATAATAAACTGCAGAATAAAAATGACCTTGAACTTTGACCAATGTCATAACTTCAGATTTAGAGGTGACCTAAACACCAGGAGTATTCAATACAGTATATGACAACTATCAAACTGAAGCTTTCGTAAGGATGAAATAATGACACCACATACTATGTACTAGTTTTATCTCAATGTGACATGTAAGAAAATTTTAAATGTCAAGATAATTATGTGAAGACCATGTTAT